TTCAAACATGTGAAATAGCCAATAATAATCCAAAAAATAAACGGTAAAACTCGCTATTATTACAAAAATATCCACTAATGCAAAATTAGAAAAAAAAACAGAATTGGGACAACAGAGATTATACAGGGATTCGAACCTAAACCGACAAATCCCTATCGTGTAACTCGTTGATTTTAAGCATGCTAACCTCGCGGCTACCAACTTATACTATACGACTGCCCATTGTGTATATATAAAGGTACAACCCCTGTGTGTCCGATGTTCATTTATATATATAAAATAGACATCTAAGTTGTAACCCATTGGTAGCCGAGAGGTTTCGTCGATGAGTTGATGTCAGTCATTCATAACAGATTTCAAGGAAGGGTTCGATTCCCAGTGAAGGCATATACAAATTACAAAAATTAAAGGTAAGTTTTAAAATTAATTCCATTAGTGAACAGAAATCAGTAAATTAACCAATTCAAGCTTAATGAAATTAGACACACAAAAGAAACAATTGAATATAATTTGGTGAGTCCATTTCAGCGGTAGATTTAGGAAGCGTTGATTCTAGAAAAAGAATCCACGGTAAATGAATAGGCTAACGTCACCACAATGGTTTAAGTTAATCAAGCATATTCTGATAATGTTGACCAGACGTTAGACACATGTTAGACAAATTTCAAAGATAGTTGCTACGGTAATTAAGGTTATATGAAATCTAAATGTAATGGAATGGTCACTTTTGAGACTATTTCCTGTCGTGTATTTATATATATGATTATGAATGACAAATACAATATGAATTTTAATCTAAGGGATGTTGTTCACAAATAAAACATATACTTTCTATCATTTAATTACGTTGATCTTATGTTTCGGGTGAAATAGATTTTGTTTAAATCATTTTTAATCCTAAATAAACATGAAAATTTGCAACTGAACATTAGTATCATTAAACAAATTGTATATTACCAATATTTTAATATTTTATTTCTGAAATCTTTGTTAAATATGAAGATTGCATTTATAACCATTATCAATGGAAAAGTCTGTTTTAGAATGTTTCAGAAATGTTGTTTAATTATGTCTACTTCATACAAATATAAAAAAATTCGTTAGTTACAATTTTTTATAATCATAGACAATATTCTGGCTCGAAAATGCATGGAAATGGAGATGGGAAAAAATGCAGAATGAATTACTTTAAGTTAGTAACATAATAGCCATCCTTTATGCCACATCGGATTCGAAATTCGCAAATATATAGGCATAAAATGTTTAATATAACCGTTAATGCTAGTGTATTTAGATTCGACTTCGTATTTTTTCACTAGAATTATTCATTTAGTTAGAACGTTTTTTTGACGTCATGGTTCTTTTTCCTGTATCCATATCTACCCTCAATTTTCCTGCTTAACTTAGCTAGCACGGTTTAGTCTAACCATTATGGTAAAGCATGACTTATGCTCATTGCTGTGCCTTGTATAGTCTAGGTAAAATATTAAAAAAGAGTCTTTTGTCTACCTATTTATCATATTTTTGTTGTGCCAGGACACCGGAAACAATGTATATTTTTGTCTCTTTGCTTATTTTTTAGGATTTAGTATATTCGTAAGAAGTATACATTGAGTACTCATTTGTTACTTTATTACAGGGACAGTGAAATAATTTTTATGAAGATTTGCTATACTGGATAAGAATTAAACATAAGACGGAGACAGAAATAGTGACAAAAGAAAGTGTAACAGAAAACAAAAGGAACACTCTTGTGAATAAAAACCATGTTAGAATACAGAACTAGGAAAATAACTGTATGAAGTGAATTACATATACAGAAATGAATTATCATGAATAGACTTTATAATTTTCATTCTACTATTGGTAAAATTCTAAAGTACAATTCCTGGAGCGAAAGATTGATTGATTGTTGGTTGCTTAAAGGTCCAGTGGCAAAATTTTCATACATGTTCAGGAAGATGGAGAGAAAAACAACATTGGGCCAATGAATGTTACGTTGGGTCATTGTTGTGCCAACATACAAATGTTGTCTGGAACTAGGTTAAATTTGGGTTCTAGATTGGTAACACACGGTTCTATTTAGGTTCCAGATTGGTTACACAAGGTTCTATAAAGGTTCCAGATTGGTTACACAAGTTTCTATGAAGGTTCCAGATTGGTTACACAAGGTTCTATTATGGTTCCAGATTGGTTACACAAGGTTCTATCAAGGTTCCAGATTGGTTACACAAGTTTCTATGAAGGTTCCAGATTGGTTACACAAGGTTCTATCAAGGTTCCAGATTGGTTACACAAGGTTCTATTATGGTTCCAGATTGGATTTTCATAACGTTATATTATAACGTTCTTATAACGTAACTGGTAGTCCACACTTTAATGTTCCAACAACGTTAAATCACAACGTTCTCACAACGAAACAGAAACGTTCCAGGAACATTTCCTGAAAGTTTTTGTGTTTTGTGGGATACTAAATATCATTGACCTACCGCTAGTGGTTCTCCATAAAATGACCTTATCACAAACTAATACATTGTTGTCAAGGCCACCGCTGCTGGCGGAAACGGTATACCTATGTCTCGTTTTTTTGACTCCGTGAAGGCGAGACAAAACTATATGATACTGAAGAAGAAAGGCTGTAAGTGGTATTATGTAATTTTATATTTCATAATTTTATTACAAAGTTTTCATTCTTTTGTTTGAAATGGAGATTTTTTCCTTTTGAAGCAATTTCTTTTCATATAGCAATTTCAGAAGGTGGACTGATTTTATTCTTTTCTAAACAATTGTATTCAAGGATTTTAATATGGAAGAGAAGAAGAATTTTTGAAGGATGGTGTAATGCATTTTTAATTTATGTTTTCCAAAAAAAAAGGCATTGAAAATACACTTTTTCAACAGCAAAAATTAAGGACCTAATTCTTATTCAAATGGTTGTTCATTTTTCATTGAAAAAAATACTGTATACAAATACTTTAACCTGTTAAAAAGCAAATTGCTGATTGCACAGGTTCTGCGACCCCTTTTGGAGCACATGAGATCACCCATTATTTAGTTTTCTTCGTTGTGTTTTGTGTACTGTTTGTCTTTTTGTTGTTTGTTGCCATAGCTTTGTCGGTTTGTTTTTCGACTTATGAGTTTGGATATCACTTTGGTATCTTTCGCTACTCTTTTCGAAAAATTGATTTTTGCTTGTTTTTTCAAGGGATACACTGATAATTGTCACATAAATCAATCGATTTATGAGATAATCATAGCACTGATTTTGCTAGTAAAAAAGACCATACTTGCAGTTTATATATTCATAAAGATTTTATTTTTGTCTTTATTTCGAAAAAATAAATCTTTTTAATCTATAATCATTCATCTGTGAGACATAATTTACAGCATTTATAATTTCATGTCGAGCAGATCAAAAGTTACAGGTGAATACATGTAGTCAAATTAAATAATATCATTTAATAATAAAAAACATCTAACATACTTTTAAGGTAAATAAATATGTATGGAGTTGTGTTATAAATTGTCTGCTAAATTATTAATTTTGTCAAAAGTTTGGCAATTTATCAATTAAGATTGGCATAAAAGGGGAGGGGATTCCAACTAAAACTCTTTCCTTCCCTTTAATCATTCATCTTTGAGACATAATTAACAGCATAAATTAATGTTGGGAGGGGATTTCAACTAAAACTCTGTCTTTGCCTCTAAATGTTTATTGATAATGACAGTTGTCAATCATACTGGTATTGTATCAGTAGTCATATGCAATAAAAATGACTGAACTAGCAAGCAAATTTATAAAGCTTATGACATACATACTTGCATTAACTGATATAAATATATAACTAAAACTTTTCACAATTCAGTTGTGTGTATTTACAAAGAAATGAGAAGTAATGGAACCTTTTGTTCAGTGTATGTTGATAATTGTAGATCAAGAAGCTAAAAAGACTACATCCTGGCTTGTGATGTGATGTGTAAGGACAAAATTGGAACAATAGTGTCAAACTTTTCCAATAACTGTTTTGCATTGCAATCATCATGATCATTTTTAGAAAAAAAGTATGTTTTCAAAATTTTTTTTTACCCTTCATTATGTCTAAATCTAATTAGGTTGCCTTTTTGGAGTGATTTTTTAAAATTAAATTTAATAAAAAAGAAGCTGACATTTGAAAACTGCGAAAAGCTTCAATATCATAAACGCCCATCATAATATATTTTTATTGATAACTTATTGTATTGTATAATATAAGTATCAATAATTTTTTAACAATAATAATGTGATTTCAATACAAATAAATGTATATAAAAATAAGGAGATGTGGTATGACTGCCAATGAGACAACTATCCACCAAAGTTCAAATAAAGTGGAAGTAAGCAATTATTGGCAACGGTACGGCCTTCAACAAGGAGAAAATGTAGATTGTTGTAATCTATCTTTTAATCTATATCTATATAATTCAGTGTTATTCACATCTTCCTTTTTATACATAACTTTACAGTAACTATGATAACAAAGTGAAATTTGAATAGTTCTAAAAATTTGCAATTTATCTATAAAACATTGTATAATCTATAATATTGTGTATTCATTTCTGTAAAACATCAAAATTCAAAATTTGATAAACAATATTTTATCATAATAGAATAAATGGCAACTTAAGAATGTACTTAGGTCAGGTTTAGGAATTTTGTCAGATATTTTGCCCCATTACACCTATTTTTCTTTTCATATAAGACTTCAATAGCTCATAAAAGGTCATTTACCAAAATTTAAGCAGATTCTAGATTTTTTTTTCTTTCGATTTGAGACCCAATTAATAACAATGCAAATACATTGTATAAGGTAAAAGTCCAAGTCAGTCTTTTTCTGCCATTTTTTAAAAATTAAATATCTTGAAAAGGAGCTCCATAACCTATCAATATTTTTAGCTTATTTTGTTTCTTGACTAATGGTCTTCTGACTGATAGTATTATTTTTAAATTATTATTTTTAAATTCTAGATTTTTTTAATTTCACTTAAGTACATCTTTAAACATGTTAAAAAAGATGCTAATGCTGATTAACCAAACCAAACACTTTTAAATTGTAATCTTTGTTGCTTCTCTTGTCATGCATATGGCATTTATGAGTAAGAGTAAAGCCTGGTGAAATGTGAATCAGAATGTGTCTTTATAAAGTACTGTGAATTAAAATCATCAGGAATATGTGAAACTTGGATCTTCCCTCCTATAAATATATCATGAAAATAAATTGCCTGGAAACTGGCGTGACAGAAATTAACACAAAATAAAGTATGCAGGAAAATAGGTTGGTTTACAGTTACATGTCCTCCTTCAGAACACTTGTTTGTAAAGTAGCCTTACAACAATCCAGGCCAATATTTAACACCGGTCTGTAATATTCTGCATGTTCTAGTGGTTTTTTTTTTAACCATACAAAAATATGATTTCAGTTTTACCACTTCTCACAGAACATCTTTTGTGATGGTTAAGATTTTAAGAATCCTGTCTTATTTCCTGTAACAGGGAATACGAAGTGATACTGTAAATTAAAATTTTTTGTGATGTATGTATTTTTGCAAATTTGCAACTGAAAAGGTTTTGGGGAAATAAAAACTTGCATTTTAAATTTTGATATTATTAATTGTATTAAGCTTTACTTGATATCACAATAACTATTCTCATTTTTTTGACCAATGTTTAACAGTCATAATTATAATAAATGCACTCACACATTTCGAAATTCATAGAAGATAATTAATTTGGTATCACATGTTAGTTAGCATCACTAGGTTGTGTGATAGGCCTCAGATTATCACTCCGATTAGTTACTTCACTTGACTGACTTGAAGCATCAGTTGGTTGTGCAATAGTCCTTACAGCTTCAATTGATTGAGATATAATCCTAGACACATCAGCTGATTGTGGCATAGTCCTATCTTGCGGTAAATTTTCGGGTCTGAAGAATAATTGTTTTCTAAGAGTAAATTGTGGCATAGGAACTTGTTTGCTTATTTCACAGTTGTTTCCAGCTGGGATATTTTCTGTTGATACATCATGATTCACCCTGGTTAGTATGGATATCAAATCCTGGCTGTAAAATAAAAAAAAGTTAAAATAATTAGACACTGAAAGAGATTACAAATTCAATTATCAAAGTTTAATATATTTAAATATATGAGCAATCTTAATTTTAGATCTTGATTTTTGACAATATCTCTCGATCTAGTTTGTAAATTAAAATAGAATTGACCAAACTAACCCCTCCTACCACTCACAATATAAATTCAACTCTGATCATTTTGTTTAAAATCCAAATGATATGATCCCACACCCTGGGTTACCTGAAAAGCATGTTAGGAAGTTATCATGTTTTTCATTTCATTTTCTTCTAATTTTAAATTCTTGAATTGGTCGTTCTATTATCCATTTTAAGACTAAGTAGACAGGGCTAGGCATAAATTCAATGCTATTCTTTTTTATATTGTAAAACTGACATGATTTTTTATGAAAAGTTATTTCTATGCTGTTTTTTTTCAACAAATATGTGCAATAAATGTCCAATATTTTTCAGCAAAAGTCAACTAGCAAGTATTCCTTTATGGATAAAAGGATGTTTAAATTTACATGACCAAGATAATTTTATTCCAGGCTGTTACTGTTTGATTTAAAATTTATATGTAAACTAGGATACTTCATGTACAGTTGTATTCATGGACAGTCCCTGATGTATTATTTTCAGCAATGGGAAGCCTGAAAAATTTTTCCCCATGCAAATATAACGGCTTCAATATCAGCCATAAAAATTGCACATACTATCTATAATTGATTATTTTTCTTGAATATTATATGCTTAATTGGCATATTAGAAAGCTATTGAGGATTGCAGTAAAATGCTAGAGAGATGATCTCGTGATCACAAATACCCCTACGACAGTTTCAATAAAATGCTCCGCAGGGCGCAGCTTGATACGACCGCAGAGGTCAAACACTGAACAGTTGGGGCAAGTATGGACACAACATTCAAGCTTGATACAGCTCTGAATTTGGATTGTGATTAAATATTTGACACAGCATAGGTTTCTGACACAGAATGAATGTGGTCTAAGAACTTAAAAATTTTAAATTGGACATTCACCTATTATGGTCCAATATCCAAAATCTAAATACATGGTTAGATTCAGCATATCAAAGAACCCCAAGAATTCAATTTTTGATGAAATCAAACAAAGTTTAATTTTGGACCCTTTTGACCTCAATGTGGACAAAGTTGATAACGGGGCCCAAAAATCAAAAATCTAAATACATGGTTAGATTGAGCATATCAAAGAACCCCATATATTCAATTTTTGTTGAAATCAAACAAAGTTTAATTTTGGGACCCCAATTTGGACCAACTTGAAAACTGGGCCCATAATCAAAAATCTAAATACATGTTTAGATTCAGCATATCAAAGAACCCTAAGAATTCAATTTTTGTTAAAATCAAACTAAGTTTAATTTTGGACCCTTTCGATCTTAATGTAGACCAATTTAAAAACGGAACCAAAAATTAAGAATCTAAATACACGGTTAGATTCGGCATATCAAAGAACCCCAATAATTCAATTTTTGATGAAATCAAACAAAGTTTAATTTTGGACCCTTTAGACCTCAATGTGGACCAATTGAAAAACGGGGCCCAAAATCCAAAAACTTAATACATGGTTAGATTCAGCATATTAAAGAACACCAAGAATTCAAGAATAAAATCCCATTGAAATTGGTCAAGAAATAAGCAATTTATACGAAGTATCTTCTTTTGCACAATACTGTGCAATTGAATATTTCTTGCTATTGCGCAATACTGTACAATTGACAATTTCTTGCTATTGCGCAATATTGTGCTATTGGATATTTCTTGCTATTGCGCAATACTGTGCAATTGAAGATTTCTTGCTATTGCGCAATACTGTGCAATTGAAGATTTCTTGCTATTGTGCAATACTGTGCAATTGAAAATTTCTTGCTATTGCACAATACTTATTATATAATAATTTACACATCCTGTTTGGCAATGTTTGGTGTGTATCTCCTACCATATCATTATTATTTGCTTTTAAATATAAATCAGAAATAACCAACTTAAAATGGAAAATTCTAAAAGAAAAAAAAAAAGGAAAAAAAGATAAACATGATAAAAAAGGAAAAAAAAACAAAATCCCCCCCCCAAATTTTTTGAACCCCCTTATGATTCATCACCCCCAAACTCAATCCCAGCCTTCCCTTTGTGGTAAGGTACCTTGCAGTACAATTTCAGAGAGATCCATACACTTGAACACGTTATTGTCTGGAAACTAGAAAAATGTGTTTTTTGGCCCCTTTTTGGCCCCAAATTCCTAAACCTTTAAGGCAATTACCCCCAAACTCAAACCCAGCTTTCCCTTTGTGATGTAGAACCTTGCAGTACAATTTCAGAAAGATCCATACACTTACACACAAGTTATTGTCCTGAAACTAGAAAAATGCTTGTTTTTTGCCCCTTTTTGGACCCTAATTCCTAAAATATTGAGGCAATTACCCCCATCATCAATCCCAGCCTTCCCTTTGTGGTATGGTACCTTGCAGTACAATTTCAGAGAGATCCATACACTTGAACACAAGTTATTGTCTGGAAACTAGAAAAATGCTTATTTTTGGCCCCTTTTTGGCCCCAAATTCCTAAACGTTTAGGGCAATTACCCCCAAACTCAAACCCAGCTTTCCCTTTGTGATATGGAACCTTGCAGTACAATTTCATAAAGATCCATACGCTTACACACAAGTTATTGTCCTGAAACTAGAAAAATGCTTGTTTTTTTGCCCTTTTATGGCCCCTTATTACTAAAATGTTGGTACCATAACCCCCAAAATCAATCCCAACCTTCCTTTTGTGGTATTAAACCTTATGGTAAAATTGCATAGAGATCCATTCACTTAAACTAAAGTTATAGTGCGAAAACTAATGTGTCTTCGGACGACGACGACGCCAACGTCATACCAATATACGACCGCAAAATTTTTGCGGTCGTATAAAAAGCAGTTCTTCATTATTATCCAGAAAGCACAAATTTTTGGATTTTTCCAACAATCAAGTACCATAACTCTGAAAAGGTAAAAGTGAAGAGAACAAAAATCGAACTTAACCTGTTTTTAGTGGTCCAAATCATTTCGACCGTTTACAAGATAATAGCACATTCTCAAATTGAAGGGGTGGGGGTGACCCCAGGAACTCACCCTATATTTCATCTGATTTGTTTTATTGTTCTGTGATCATTTCTGAAGACTGCGTGTGTCTATCACTTACAATTTTCAAGTTAAAGTCATTTAAAAATTAAAAAAAACAATATCTCATAGGTTTCTATAGTAAACCCCTCCCTTCTTAATGCCCCTTAAAAGTACCCCTTAATAGACCCCAACGCACAAACGATTGGTTGATGGCTCCCCTAGACATGTTAATCTAACATTTTATGAAACCCTAAGTAAATCTGACAAGGGGTTTTGGAGAACCGCTGCGGACAAGTTCATCTTTAAAGTGTTTTATTGTCCCATACATGAATGTATATGGTTTAGGGATGGGGATCTCAACCATTTCCAAGTTCTCAAACAGGAGGGGTTGAGGTGACCCCAGGGACTCCCCTTATATTTCATTTGATTTGTTATATTATCCCATACATGAATATATATGGTTTAGGGGTGGGGATCTCGACCGTTTACAAGTTCTCAAACAGGAAGGGGTTGGGTGACCCCAGGGACTCCCCCTATATTTCATTTGATTTGTTTTATTGTCCCATACATGAATATATATGGTTTAGGGGTGGGTATCTCGACCATTTCCAAGTTCTCAAACAGGAGGGGGTGGGACGACACCGGGGATTCCCACAAATTATTTTCATTTGATTTCTTTTATTGTCCCATACAAGTATATATATATAGTTTAGGGGTGGGGATCACGACAGTTTACAAGATAAAAGTACATTTTCAAATTGAAGGGGGTTGGGATGACCCCCAGGGACTCACCCTATATTTTGGTTGATTTTTTTTATTGTCCTGTTCTCATTACTGAAGACTGCATGTGTCTATCACTTACTTTTTTCGAGAAATAGTCATTTGAAAATTTAAAAAAATAAAATCCCATAGGGTTCTATAGTAAACCCCTCCCTTCTTCAGGACCCTCCAAATACCCCTTAATAGACCCCAATGCACAAACAAAAGATAAATGGCTCCGCTAGACGTGTTAGTCTAATATTTTATGAAACCCTTAGTAAATCTGACAAACAGTCAAAGTTGTCTTCTCAGACGGTTTGAGTGGATTTGGTCCGACTTGTCTCGGGGACGAGTTGTCCACATTACTTAAAACATCCCATCATCGTCGATTTCCGCATCTGTTTCATGACCTCGTTTCATTCATAAAATAACAACAACCTTATTTGGCAAGATAAGTTAAAAATTACTGCCCACTTATATAACTTTATTTCCTCTATCATAGAGATTTGTTGTACATGAACAATATTCCTGCGCATTTTGCCATTTGGGAAATATATAACAAATATGGTTGACCTATTGCTTATAGTTTAAGAAAAACAGTCCAAAACACAAAAACTTAACACTGAGCAATGAACCTTGAAAATGAGGTCAAGGTCAAATAAAACCTGTGTGACTGACATATAGATCATAAAATATTTCCATACACCAAATGTAGTTGAACTATTGCATATAGTATTAGAAAAAAAGATCAAATCTCAAAAACTTAACTTTGACCACTGAACCATGAAAATGAGGTCAAGGTCAGATGACACCTGCCAGCTAGACATATACACCTTATAATCATTCCATACACCAAATATAGTAGACCTATTGCATGCAGTATTAGAAAAAAAGACCAAAACTCAAAAACTTAACTTTGACCACTGAACATTGAAAATGAGGTCAAGGTCAGATGACACCTGCCAGCTAGACATGTACACCTTACAATCATTCCATACACCAAATATTGTTGACCTATTGCATACAGTATAAGAAAAACAGACCAAAACACAAAAACTCAACTATAACCACTGAACCATGAAAATGAGGTCAAGGTCAGACGACACCTGCCAGCTAGACATGTACACCTTATAATCCTTCCATACACCAAATATTGTAGACCTATTGCATACAGTATAAGAAAAACAGACCAAAACACAAAAACTCAACTATAACCACTGAACCATGAAAATGAGGTCAAGGTCAGATGACACCTGACAGCTAGACATGTACACCTTACAATCCTTCCATACACCAAATATAGTAGACCTATTGCATACAGTATAAGAAAAACAGACCAAAACACAAAAACTCAACTATAACCACTGAACCATGAAAATGAGGTCAAGGTCAGATGACACCTGCCAGCTAGACATGTACACCTTACAATCCTTCCATACACCAAATATAGTAGACCTATTGCATACAGTATAAGAAAAACAGACCAAAACACAAAAACTCAACTATAACCACTGAACCATGAAAATGAGGTCAAGGTCAGATGACACCTGCCAGCTAGACATGTACACCTTAAAATCCTTCCATACACCAAATATAGTAGACCTATTGCATAAAGTATAAGAAAAACAGACCAAAACACAAAAACTCAACTATAACCACTGAACCATGAAAATGAGGTCAAGGTCAGATGACACCTGCCAGCTAGACATGTACACCTTACAATCCTTCCATACACCAAATATAGTAGACCTATTGCATACAGTATAAGAAAAACAGACCAAAACACAAAAACTCAACTATAACCACTGAACCATGAAAATGAGGTCAAGATCAGATGACACCTGCCAGTTGGACATGTACACCTTACAGTCCTTCCATACACCGAATATACTAGACCTATTGCTTATAGTATCTGAGATATGGACTTGACCACGAAAACTTAACCTTGTTCACTAATCCATGAAATGAGGTCGAGGTCAAGTGAAAACTGTCTGATGGGCATGAGGACCTTGCAAGGTACGCACATACCAAATATAGTTATCCTATTACTTATAATAAGAGAGAATTTAACATTACAAAAAATCTTAACTTTTTTTTTAAGTAGTCACTGAACCATGAAAATGAGGTCAAGGACATTGGACATGTGACTGACGGAAACTTCGTAACATGAGGCATCCATATACAAAGTATGAAGCATCCAGGTCTTCCACCCTCTAAAATATAAAGCTTTTAAGAAGTTAGCTAAAGCCGCCGCCGCCTAACCGCCGGATCACTATCCCTATGTCGAGCTTTCTGCGACAAAAGTCGCAGGCTCGACAAAAACCTGTATTATCATTGTAGTGAATTTTATATGGATTGAACCTGTATTAAAAGACCACCTGTCTTATGAGACCACTTTTTTGCTCTTCCTTAAGTGGTCTTTTAAAACAGTTTTAACTGTATGTTCTTACCTATTGGCATATTCGTTCAGATTGTCTGTCAGTTTCCTTATGTAAAAAGACCCTCTTGTTCGACTTCTAAAGGATGTATAACCAGTAACAGTGGCATAGCCAATCAGAAAGTCTGATTCATCTGGTATAATTTTGGAGTTATTTGACGTAACCTCAGCATCTGTCTCAGGAAAGCTTTGACCTTCTTCTAGATCTGATGGACCATCAGCCTGTATTGATAAATCTGTTTGATTTATTCCTACAATCAAAACAAAAACAATATTTTTTATATGTTTGCAAAATTTTGATCATATACTTTGGAATCATTTTGATGATTTATTTACTTGTATACTAATTTTTGTAGATTGAAGACAATTTGTATTTTTGTGGATTTTTATATTTCGTAGTTTTGCCAAAGTCCTCATAGCCTTTAGAAAATTTCTGCTTCATTGAACATTTAAATGATTGGTTTACCTTTACCCATGAAATCCACGAAAAATTGGTCTCCCAAGATTAATAATGAATCCACAGTTAATATATATAAGCCATATACATGATATAAGAAATTTCAGGAAGCTTCCATTTGTAGTTTATATAATCAGAAAGATTGGAAAATTGGCCAAATTACAGCTCTCTTTAAGAAATGTGACAAAAAATTAGCTTCAAATTACAGACCTGTTAGCCTGACTAGTATTATCTGCAAACTGATTGAGAAACTTATAAGAAAAAAAATTGTAGACCATATGAACCACTATAACTTATTTAGTGATAGACAATTTGGTTTCATTGAAGGAAGATCAATCTCATCACAATTACTTAAAGTCCTAGATCACTGGACCAGTATTCTAGACAGTGGTGGTTCAATTGACGCAGTTTATACTGATTTTATGAAGGCGTTTGACAAAGTTCCACATAGATGACTTATCAATGAACTTAGGTCATATGGCAAGAACTTCCTGAGCGACCGTCAACAAAGAGTACAAATCAATAGATATTTTTCCAAATGGCATGATGTTACTAGTGGTACTCCACAAGGATCAGTTTTGGGCCCAATCCTGTTTCTTATCTTCATAAACGATTTGCCGTCTTGTGCAGAGTTTGATGTATACATGTTTGCAGATGACACAAAACTATATAGATCTATAAACAGCGAAATTGACAACACCATAAAGCAAAATGACATAGATAGTATGTTCAAATGGAGTGAAAAATGGCTATTATGTTTCCATCCGGACAAATGCAAAGTACTACCAATTTCTACCAAATCCAATTCTGGGCAAGAGAGAAAGTATAAAATGTCGACATACCATGGATCTGAAATCACACTAGAAACAGATCAATCAGAGAAAGATGTAGGAGTAACTATAGATTCCAAACTGAAATTCGATAGACATATACAGACACAAGTCAACAAAGCAAACCAACTAGTTGGAATTATTAGAAGAACTTTTAAATATCTAGATTATAATAGCTTCTGTCTACTATTTAAGGCATTAGCCCGTCCTCATCTTGAATATGCTAGTAGTGTATGGAACCCGCACAAAAAGAAAGATATCGAGACAATTGAAAACGTCCAACGTAGAGAAACAAAAATGTAACCCAACCTCAAAGATCTGTCATACGAAGAAGATTGAAAATTCCGACAATTCCTATTTCAAAATTTAGATGGCTAAGAGGAGACATGATAGAAACCTACAAGATAAAAACAGGAGTATATGACTCAAGAGTAACAGAAGGTTTATTTACTCGTAACACAAGCTCGACAACAAGAGGCAACTCGATGAAATTGGTAAAAAACAGAAGGAGACTAGACATAAGGAAATACTACTTTACTAACCGAAAAGTGGAAGTGTGGAATAGCCTACCAGACATCGTAGTGACTGCAAAGAACGTAAAGTTTTTTGAACACCGTCTAGACAAGCATTGGAAAGACCACCCAATGATATATAAGTTTGACACTGAATACACATACAACACCGGAAGTAGCACAAGTGTAGTTAGTGATGATGAAACAGAGTCAAATATAGAGGAGCAAACTGACCTCCTGCGTTTGGAAACACTTAGGTAGACTTAGGTAGTATATATACATAAGTCTATAAAAAGGACAAACCAGCAAATTTAATATGTACCCGATCGTCTAGAAAAGACGATACTGCGCAGATAAGGAAAAAATTATATAAGTCTAAAAATTTGCACAACAGTATTAATATAAGATGGTAATATACGAAGATGATGTTATAAAATCATGTTGACAAATATTTCAGCAACATTTTAACAAATAGCCTTCGTCAGTGTCAATAATCATTACAATACAATTGCTTTTAATTATTGACATTATTATTCAAAATGGTCTTCAAGTCCTTTAATTTAATTCTCTACATTTTTCTTCATTTGAATTAAAGGACTTTAAGAGCATTTTGAACTTTAATTTTTTTATACTTCTACTTGCATGGACGCAGAATTTGATTTTAAGTATATACATATATCGATGTTATTGATTTCTATGACAGCATGTTAATCATTACATCAAATCAATTCTCTACAAACTATTTTTTAAAGCATTTGTGGTAAGGGCATCTTCAGTAAACATGAAGTTGACATGGTTGATGAGTGATGAATCTAAAACGCCTAAAACTGTATAGCATGCTGACATGGAGCCATATAATAATAAATTTCTGGAAGCTCTGCTTTATAATATTTGAGAAAAATGCGAAGAAAATTTCATACATGGCTATTATGTTTAGCATATATAAGTATTCAGTAAACAGGAATTTGATGAGCAATGAATCTAAAACTACTTCACACAGTATAGCATGCAGCCATATAAGAAATTTCAGGAAGCTCCGATTTGTAGTTTAGGAAAAATATGCAACAAAATTTTCATGGGGCGGACGAACAGACAGGGGTAAAACAGTATACCCCCACTCGTCCGAGCGGGGGTATACAAAAATATTCATTTCTTTTTTTCTGGCTGCTGTCTCTTGATCATGAATTCTGTCCAATTTTTGTAAAATTCACTTAAGGTTTCACATATTTGCGTGTAAAAAATCTATTTTAGGGGGGGGGCTAGGATGAAAAATTTTGTCCTGCATTTTTTTTTAGTCGTAATCTCTGTCCTGCCTTTTTATTTTTCACTCTATTCGGTCCTGCCTTTTTGCAAAGTTTCTCATCCTGCCTTTTTTTCACTCAAAACTCCTGTCCTGCCTTTTTTTCAAATTTCAGCTTCTCCACCTTCAGGCGGAACAAAAATGGAACATCCTTTATTTCATCTATAAAAATCATACCTGTTTGCCTTTCATTTCCCTGACATGCCTGTATAAAGAACAGCTTTGGTTTATCTGCTAAGCTCTTGCACCTTGAGGATCTAAAGTATGAAGTTAAGTATCGAATAGTAATTTCATTGCCGTCCACTCCATAAACTACATGCTCTCCACCATGTGACAATATACATACAACAACAGCATTATACTTTGAATGATTAAGTTTAGACAAACCATGCATTACTGCATTCATATCTTTTGCTGTTAAGTCTTTGTATACTTTCACAATGAATCCGAGCTTCCAGAAAGTTTCATCAAGCATCCCTACAAAAACAATTAAAATGTTGATATTAAAAATTAATTAAATATTATTTAATTTAAAATGAAGGTAATCTAGGTACTGTGGAATCATTTATTTTTGTGGGTACCAATTTTTAGTGTATTGAAGAAAATTGTATTTTAGCAGATATTTGATTTCATGGTTTTGCCAATTGCAAAGACTACATAAAAGAATATAGAAAATTGTGCCTTTCATTGAAAACTTTGTGGTATACCTTTATCCACAAAATCCACAAAAAATGGTATCCAACTAAAAATGATGAATCCACAAACCAATATATTGCTTCGCCAAGCGCAGCTGGATACATCCGCAGAGGTCCAACCCAGAACAGTTGGGGCAAAAATGGACACAATATTTGCGCTTGATACAGGTCTGAATTTGGATTGTAAAATTAAATATTTGACACATAATAGGTTTCTGACACAGAATAACTGTAGTCAAAGAACTTAGAATTGGTTATATGATTTGAATTTATATTCAATCTTTTGCTTTTGTAAATCTGAAATGAGAAAAAATTGTCCCCCCCCCCCCACAATTTTTTTTCACCTCCCCCTTTTTCAAAAAAAAAAAAAAACTTTCCCTCAAGATATGGTCATAATCTCAATTCAAAGTTCCAATGGGGTTTGCAACCATAACTACCCATTTAAATACATCATAAAAGTCTTAAAATAGAAAATGACATACATAATCATGGCTAAAATTAATATTCCTTAATCAGCATTTTTAATAATAATTTCTAAAAAATAAATTGACAGCTAATCACCTCAAGACAATACAATATTTCTTTATATGTAATTTAAAAGCAGTGTAAGGGAGGTAATCCAAACATAACATTGTACTTTTAAGTAATTGTTCATTAACCAGGAAACCCTTGTTTTCCCCCTTTTTTGCCCCTTATTCCGAAACGGTTTGAGCCATAACCCCCAAAGCCAATCTCAACCATCCCTTTGTGGTATGGAAACTTCTGGTCTAATTTCAGAGAGATCCATACACCTTTCCACAAGTTATTGTCTGGAAACTAGAAAAATGCTTATTTGGGCCCATTTTTGGCCCCTAATTCCTAAACTGTTAGGACCATAACCCCCAATATCAATCCCAACCTTCCTTTTGTGGTTATAAACCTTGTGTTTAAATTTCATAGATTTCTATTTACATATACTAAAGTTACTGTCCAGAAACCAAACGTCTTCGGACGATGCAGACGACGACAACGTGATACCAATATACGAGGTCGTATAAAAACAAGTTAAAATGAAGGATATATAGGAAATTAGAAAGTATGCTTCCTTGCCCGATCAGCTAGAACTACTGGTAGCTGGTATTATTATGAAAAATCCTTCTTATGGTAGATGATGATCATGATAATAAAAGTATTTAAACATTGGCTGCCTTAACAGGTCTCGTAACAGACATCTTCTTGTATAGAGATACATATACGATTAATGTATAGACTTTATACAAGTCCAAATACTAATCTAACTTGGTGGGCCCTTTTTCAATTCCTGGATTTTATATTGATGTAACTGAAACTTGTTCAATTTCTAAACTAGTTTTTGGGGACAAAGAGGCAAAAACATAAGTCTATTAAAAAATTGAAGGAAAAAGGAGAGTATTGCCTAACAAATAAAAAGCCTGAAGAGTGTGATTTTGCTAAAAAAAAAAACACCTTTTGGGCAAAAACAATGATTGTGACATTTGATTCAATCCATTATCTATCTATCAAGGTCTTTAGTTTAAAAAAACATAACTTTTTTTCATTTGTTTGGAATAAAATACACATCTCAAGGTGGAGCAAATGGTTAATTTCCATATACTGGTATGGTGGATAACATAAAATTGTGATACATGTAAATGATTTAAAGTGTTATAAAATATTTGTGTTGATGGTTTGAATAATGTACACTATAATACAGGGATGTTTACACATCTACCATTTTTTGTCCAGAATTTTCAGTTACAATTTGTGCAATACATTTACATGTGCTGTACTGTTTTTGTACTCTGGAAATAGTCATACAATTTTTTTTTTCTGATGGTATATACTAATGATGAACAAATAAGCCTTTTTTTTCTTTTTATTTGCATGATTCTTGTACATGTTGTATATATTTTGTTGTGCAAAAAAGATATTAAATGTAGCTAGAACACAAGCAAAATATTTTCTTGTGTAGGAATAACTGACTGTTGACTTTTTTCCATTTACAAATATTGACACGGAAGAGGGTGGTAAAGGGTTATTTTCGTGCAACGTTTTCGGTCTTTTTATTTCACGTAATTCGTGTTTTGACGTTTTATTTCTCGTTTTCTTGTGTTTGGTTCGATGTGTGTGCTTCGTGTTTCCCCTTATTTATGTTCCATGTTTCATGTCAGTACTCCTAATTTCTCATGCTTGTCCTGCATTTGATTAAAAAGTAAACCGGGACTAACTCAAAGTCAGCCTGGATATTGTTTTACTATGAATAATATTTTTTCAAATCAGATGCAACTAGCGGACGCTAAAAGGTGACCGCAGGGTCTTCATGTCCATTAATAATGACTGCATGATCTCCAAGAACGGCTGAGTAATAACTTCTAGTACTATTTTCCTTACTAATTACGATGTTATTTCTCATGCTTCGTTTTTCCCGATTTTTATTTTCTGTGAAACGTTTTTGCGATTTTTATTTCACGTTTCCGTGTTCAGACACCCCCTTTACCACCCTCACAGAAGGATATTTATCTGATTTTTGGGGAAAATTAAATTACAATACTTTAAATAATTTGATAATTTGATAATAATATGACAACAATGTACAATATAAGGATCTGTAACAGTATGTGCAATGGGCAGATAAGCTACCATTTAATATTTTTATGGCAGCATGTATCAATGTAAACACACTTCGTTGACTTGTATTACACTGGATTCATATTTTGAAAGTCTGATATAACTCATAGCAATTAAAAAATATTTATGAACAGTTCTTTTGTATTTTTTGAACATGCATATGGTTGCTTAACCGTCTAGAGTTGCTCATCATCTGGTCGTACAAGGACTTTACTGACAGACATAATAGTGTTCTGAGCTGATGACGTTGAACAGTCCTTGTAAAATTTTGTGAAAGAACAATAACCAAAGTGTCAGTTCAACTATACAGGGATACAGTTAGCCAATAAAATGTGTAATTGAAATAAAACATATATGTACAGTAAAAGAGTATTTGCTGGTTATGGAAATGATAAATCAAGCTTAATCTGAGGTGTGACCTGAAGAAATGAAGTCCATTGACATGAATGATATTTATTGATCATTTTGATTATTCGTTTGTACAGTTCTTGGTTTACTTACTGGCATCTTCATCACTTCCACCTCGAGATCCAAAGCCAGACTCAGAATAGAATTTGTTATTGTTGATAATAATACATAAACCTGTAAAAGAAAAGTAGAAATTTCAATGTATATTGCAAAAGATTTCTCTCCATTCAAAAACGTAGGTACATTGTTTATATTGATCATCTAATGGTGATAAGGCAAATCTATCTGGGAGATAACTTGTATTCTTGTATTCTAAAGTTTGCTGACATAAATCATAGATTTTACAGTCACAAATTGAATTTATCTAGCGCACTTACAAAGATAAGTATATGGACATCCAAACTTAACTCTTACTTCAGATTACAATACAATGCAATGCAGCTTATTTGTTCATTTAAGTACAAAACAAAATATTATCTTTGGTTTAAAATCAAAGACATAAATATTGAATTGAACTTCCCTATTCTATTTGTAAATTTCAAAAAAGGCTTTTTGATTTATTCTGTATAATTTGATAAATTATGATATGGATTATGGTGTCACAGTTTTTATCATATAGACTTCAGAGCTTAAACATATTGTTTAAGGATGTTCACTCCTCTTCTTTTTGAATTTTTGCCAGATATTCGGAATCCTCTGGTTTTATCCATGTAGTTTCATTAAAAAATTCACCCGCTAACCCCTACTTTTCTTTTCATCATTTGATAACATATAGTTTAAAATGCCATCTTTGAAAATCTTATAAAGTCCTTGTTATTTTTTCATAGTTTTTGCAAGAAAAAAGGTGCCAATGTTAAATGTATGAAAAATCTAGGGAGAATCATTTCCCGCCAAATTTTCAATGGCTTATATCTCGGAAACAAGCACACGGACCCTTTATTTTTATCTGCTTTTTTAGTTCCTTATTTATATACTATCAATTTATAACAGTCTTTTAAAAAGCTGATTATTTTGAAACAGAGTAGCGAACATCCTTAAACACATCTGTCTGTTGTTGAAGACTATCATGTGTATATTGCTGTCTTTACATTATTTATAATGTTGGTTGCTGTGTCATTGATGTATATCATGAATCTTCTCTTATTCATCCTAATTGTATTAATATGTTTTTTGATTGAGTTAAGCCATTTCAATTGATATTTAATAGTGTGTCTTTCTATGTTGTGATGTTACACTATTGTTTCAGATAAGGGTGAAGGTTTGGTACCATTAAAACATTTAAACCCACTGCAATTGTTTGCACCTGTCCTAAGTCAGGAATCTGATGTTCAGTAGTAATTTTTGGGGCCCTTTACAGCTTGCTGTTCGGTGTGAGGCAAGGCTCCGTGTTGAAGACTGTACTTAGACCTATACAGGTTTACTTTTATAAATTGTGACTTGGATGGAGAGTTGTCTCATTGGCACTCATTCCACATCTTCTTATATCTATTAGTAAAAAGGGTTAGATTGCAATTTTACACAAATGTTAGCCATTCCTTACAAACAAATCAAAGCGCGAAAGCGCTGTAAAGGCAGTTAATTACAGGTTGTGTGTATTTTTAGTCCAGTTATATCATTATCTTGCATAGTACATTGTACTTATCAGAGGTGGCTTTCAGTATTTAAGATTTAGAGTTCTCTAATGATATTGAACAAGTTTTATGAATGTCATATTCTGAGCACTATATGAAGGCGATTGTTCTCATTTGTTTATGAACTAGTGGATTATGTCCAGTTTGTACCTTTTTTTATCTATGTTTATAGTCAAATACTGTTAAAAATAGTTTGGCATTTTCTTTTTAGTAATAAGTAAATGTTATCAACTGTATTTTATTCAACTTTGCAAATGTGGTTTGTTACTGGTAAGTACAATGTATGGGTGATAGTTGTTTCATTGGCAATCATGACACATCTCCTTATTTATATAATGATCTATATTCAACGACCTCAGGTACAAAAAAAATGTATGTAACTAAACTATTATGGGAAAACTTTGACTTCTTTCTTTTATATAAACTTTTGATTTGGTACCATAAAACTATGTAGAATAAATGTACATTGCAACATGTCAACTCTTTCAATGACAATACTTTTTTTAGAAACTATAACTCCAAGCAAAATTATATTTCCAAGTATAAAGTAATTTATGAATGAAACAAGAGTGCACACGCTGAAATGTCTCGCCTTCTTTACTAATCATTGATATGTTGATAATCCTTAATATTAAGCTTTATTACAACTGTCACATAAACTTAACATTAACCAAGTAAACTAAACATTGACCAATGAACCAAGAAAATGAGGTCAAGGTCAGATGAACCATGCTAGGCAGGCATGTACAGCTAACAATTCTTCCATACAACAAATATAGTTGACATATTGCTTAAAGTTTAAGAAAAACAGACCAAAACACAAAAACTTAAAACTGAGCAATGAACCTTGAAAATGAGGTCAAGGTAAAAAAAAAAACCTGCGTGACTGACAAATAGATCATAAAATATTTCCATACACCAAATATAGTTGAACTATTGCATATAGTATTAGAAAAAAAGACCAAAACTCAAAAACTTAACTTTGACCACTGAACCATGAAAATGAGGTCAAGGTCAGATAACACCTGCCAGTTGGACAGTCCTTCCATACACCGAATATACTAGACCTATTGCTTATAGTATCTGAGATATGGACTTGACCACCAAAACTTAAACTTGTTCACTGATCCATGAAATGAGGTCGAGGTCAAGTGAAAACTGTCTGACGGGCATGAGGACCTTGCAAGGTACGCACATACCAAATATAGTTATCCTATTACTTATAATAAGAGAGAATTTAACATTACAAAAAATCTTAACTTTTTTTTCAAGTAGTCACTGAACCATGAAAATGAGGTCAAGGACATTGGACATGTGACTGACGGAAACTTCGTAACATGAGGCATCCATATACAAAGTATGAAGCATCCAGACCTTCCACCCTCTAAAATATAAAGCTTTTAAGAAGTTAGCTAACGCCGCCACTGGATCACTATCCTTATGTCGAGCTTTCTGCGACAAAAGTCGCAGGCTCAACAAAAAGGAGTTCTTAATTTAGAAATAAACTGATTCGCTGAGCGCAGCTGGATACACCTGCAGAGGTCCAACCCTGAATAGTTGGGGCAAAAATGGACACAATATTCAAGCTTGATACAGGTCTGAATTTGGATTGTAATTAAATATTTGACATATTATAGTTTCTGAATAAATGTAGTCAAAGAACTTGAAATCGGTTTTATTTTAATTGAATTTATATTCAATTAAAGATTTCTTGCTGTTGTGCAGAACACTGTGCTGTTGCGCAATACTTAATAAATCTGTTGCCAGACTATAAACAAATAAAGTTCAATTTCTTCTCAATGTCATATTTGAAATTTATGAAAATCAATAGGGAGATTACATCAATAGCTATAAATAATTCACCAAAGGTTCATGCGAACTGCTTAAAGCATTTTTGAGTTGTTGTCCAAAAACTGGAAAATCCCCACTTTTTTAATGAATAAAAACCCACAACTCAGAAATGTAAAATCTAAAATTTATAAAATTCTAAAGAGAGCTTACGGATTGATAATTTAGTCTTAGATGCAAGATTTTTTTATCAGTTGTTAGTGGCTTTGAACTAGCTGTCAGTAAATGCGAGTACTCTCAGATCTGTACTTAGTGTCTTTTAGTTGTTTGGATGTACAACTACCTGGCCACGTCCACTTGTATTTGTATTTATCCATCTGATGAGTTAAGCCTCTTTCAACTGATTTTTATAGTTCGTTCTTATATTGTACTGTTACACCACTGTCCCAGGTTAGGGGGTGGGTTGGGATCCCGCTAACATGTTTAACCCCGCCACATTCTGTATGTACATGTATGTGCCTGTCCCAAGTCAGGAGCCTGTAATTCAGTGGTTGTCGTTTGTTTATGTGTTGCATATTTGTTATTCGTTCATTTTTTTTACATAAATTAGGCCGTTAGTTTTCTTGTTTGAATTGTTTTACATTGTCATTTTGGGGCCTTTTATAGCTCACTGTGGGGTATGTGCTTTGCTCATTGTTGAAGGACGTACTGTGACCTATAGCTGTTAATTTCTGTGTCATTTGGTCTCTTGTGGAGAGTTGTCTCATTGGCAATCATACCACATCTTCTTTTTTATATTTACATCAACAGATATAAACAATTCACCAAAGTCAAACTTAGTTGTAAGATCTCTGAAATTTTTTACATGTTACAAGTTTTTTCTAATTGTTGGAGATTGTACGGTGACAGTAACACCTGTAACTGCTTAACCCATTTCTTATGCACTTTGGTTCGATAAACTCACTGAATATCATACCACATCTCCTTATTTTTTTATGCATTACAATTTACATGTGCATGTAATTGTAAATAATATTTATATATATATATATCAGAACAAACTTCATTGTGTCACTTTTATTTATGCATCCTTTGGCACAATACAAGTTCTAAAATTACACAACATAAAACAACTAAATGTTATTTCAGATGAAAGTTTTGTTTCAGTTCCATTCATAGGATTTATTAGAATTTTGTATGTTTTGCCAAGTCCAATAATTAGCTCTATTTGCACGTGTTAATTGGAGACTTTTCTATCCCGTATAAGAGTTTTGGAACTAATTCTGTTTCTTTTTTTGAAAAAAGTGAGCAAACAAATCTTGCACATTTAAACCTTTGTCTGCCATCACACTGTCACCTGGATCACATAATTGAACTACACATGTATTCTTCATCTTTCAACTATTTCATAGTCACTGGTACAACCAACATATGCATTAGAGACATACATTTTTGTAGTTGACTAAACCACCAGGTGTCGAACATACAAGTATTTTCAGTGTTTCTGTTTTTATATGATGAAAAGGTTGCCTGAGCTTTAGGAGCTTTATGTTTTATCACGGGATATTCTGTGCTGTCAATAATAATCCAAGTTGTAGGAAACTTTAATTTGAAGTTGGATGGCAAAAAATACCTGACTAAACCACTAAATGGCCAAGTGTTAGGTTCACGCCACTGTTTAGACATAAAAACAATCCATGTTTACACAACATTCTTAACACTAGTTTCAATCTAGAATCTAGACAGTTCAAAGTTGGTTGTATAATGCCTCAATTTCATCAAAGTCATAAAAAAAATGATTTTCAAATGACACCCTATCAATTTGAAAATATATGTATCTCAAACAATGTGCTGCTGGACCAAGTGTGGTCAAAACAAAAAAAAATTTAGTATACAACTCTAAACTGGTATAAAAATGCATGGCTGTGTCACGTGTCTTCATTTCAAAATTCTCTGCTGAAAATATAGGCATTGATGGTGTTTGCGTAATTCCATCTGTGAAGCTCAACATTAGCTCGGCAGTTGGTGGTGGACAGTCATAAACCCTGTCTGCAGTATGAATGACTTCTTCAGGAAAACCAACTTTACAATCAAAACTTTCCTCTAGATTTCTACTACAATATTCATCAAGTTTAGTTCTTTTGTTATCACAGGAAACTGCCCTGATTTTTCTTTTTGCGGACGATTCAGTCTCTTGCTTGGTCCAGGAAAATAGGCTGGGAATGGCAGTAGACTTAAGTCTCTGTATGGTGGGTTTGCGTCCTGAAAAAGGTAAAAACATTAGTTTTTTGATAATTAAATGAACTTCCATTAGCAATGCATACTTTGTACAACCTGGCAAAATATTAACTAGATTTATTCATTACAATCTGGATAAAACTATGTTAGCCTGATTCAATGTACATCAAAATGCAGGTTATGTAAATCCAAAGGACAAACAATGAGAGTCGTATGCAACAAACATACATTGTTTGTACCTAAATAACTATAATATAGATGAGAGCATGTCATTGTTTTGTTCCTGTTAACATTGTCATTGATATTTTTCAAGAAAGTCTATGAGGCATAGCTTATGCATTCCTGTCATTACTACATTAGCATAATTACTTCTGAAATAATTCTCAGTATGATAAACCTCTTGTAAGAAATCATTATAATTGTAGCAAGCACCAAAAAATCTCAAACAGATCACATTGAATCGTAATCCAAAAAATTATGACGTCTTGAATTAACCACCCCCTTTTATTCTAAAACGATAATTGCGGTTGTAAACAGACTTTGGTTTATTCGCATGGCGATTACATATATAACTATATATTTTAAAAAGAAAATAGAGTTTTACCATGAATAGTTTCCTGCACGTAGTCTTTTTCAGTAAAATGTGCCTTGCAAACAACAGCTGATTGAGATGGACTCCACGATTTCACCGTGTTCTCGTCCAATCTGCGTATGGGCCATGGCGTTGATCCAACTTTTCCTTCTTTTTAAGTCATTTGGAAATGCATGTCCTCCTCTTAAATGACATCCAGGTACACAACAACAAGTACTTGGCATCGTTAATTAAAAATGCAACTGTAATAGTTGCACAGTGCAGAAACCGGAAGTTGAAGAACAGGATCGGCTACCACGGCGCCACCTATTCAGGAACGATAATTTGCTACTTTATATAACTGCGAAATAACAATAACGTTAGACGGGTCCGCGTGCATAAACATAAATGCGCTTTAAATTGTATAATATAATTCATGTTCAGTCGACCTTTAATTATTATATCAACGACTGAAATGATTTATAAACATCTAGGTTGCAGATAACACTCGAAATTAACCCGACCTCTTTCCACACGGAATTCAGATAATTCTAGTTTGTCAATCGGTTGACTGCTTATAATGTAAAATACAAATATATCAAAAGTTTTTAAAACTAACAAAACACAATGATCGTTTCTCTATTTCCCAATGTAAATGAAATGAAACAAAAAACATTTTATATCACAATAAGAAGAGGAGAGAATCAACATTTTCCGGATCTACTTGGAGCCTAATGACCCCCCACGTAGATAAGTTGGATATCGCGGAAAGAAAGATTAACACGGCAACTAGAAAGGCATTAAAGCACTGCCTTTAAAAATTAATAAAACCATTTAAAAAGTTATCAATTATAACACATTGTACATTTGCCAATGGCACACATATCTGTAAAAAAAGGAAACTTGTATGTTTCACTGATTGGATTAAATGCTACCTTTTTTATCCATGTACACCATAGCGGCATGTTTAATTTGTACAAGAAACTTGAGAAACCTGGGTAAACAATGGAGCTCTAGGCAGTATTATATCTTGGAATAAACATTGTCACTTTGTTTATTTTCTTTGGTTACATCTTCTGACATCAGACTCGGACTTCTCTTGAACTGAATTTTAATGTGCGTATTGTTATGCGTTTACTTTTCTACATTGGCTAGAGGTATAGGGGGAGGGTTGAGATCTCATAAACATGTTTAACCCCGCCGCATTTTTGCGCCTGTCCCAAGTCAGGAGCCTCTAGCCTTTGTTAGTCTTGTATTATTTTTAATTTTAGTTTCTTGTGTACAATTTGGAGTTTAGTATGGCGTTCATTATCACTGAACTAGTATATATATTTGTTTAGGGGCCAGCTGAAGGACGCCTCCAGGTGCGGGAATTTCTCGCTGCATTGAAGACCTGTTGGTGACCTTCTGCTGTTGTCTGTTCTATGGTCGGGTTGTTGTCTCTTTGACACATTCCCCATTTCCATTCTCAATTTTATCTGTTCACAACAATTACTACCCGATTCATCAATGTTGAATAAGATTTAATATACCTCTAGGAAAGGCATTCATTTCATATACAAGTACAGGAGAGGCTGTGGGATTCTGTGGTGTACCATTTGCAATGTCTGGATGACTGATGGGTAATGATGGGTTCTGGTCAACTACAGGTGGTCCTGATTCTGAAAAAAAGACAGAAGTGAAGCATTAGGTTTAATGTGCATATATTTTCCTACTACATAATATATACTTTATATATGTTGTGTACAAGTTATCATTTTGTACATATTATAATTTGTACAAAAATATTGTACACATTATAATTTGTATTTTGACTTTGTACAAATTGTACTTTGTACAAAAAGTGCTTGTACAAATTACAATTTGTACAAAATTTGACTAAAATTCACTTATAACTTGTACAATAATTTATAGTATGGGTTTTGTTATAAAAAAAAGCATTGATACACACTATAGAATTTTTTATTCAATGACCCCAGTGTAAACCTTATTTACAAAATACAAAACTAGTTCTGTATCATTTGTAAGTGCTTCACTCCCATTTGCATTTACATGAAAGAAACCCCTGAGTCAGGGGCCCTGACCACCATTTTTTGAAAGCTTTTTAACTGCTTCACGTAGCGAAAGTTTAAACTCAGGAACCGTTGCTGAGAATAAAGATGTGTCTTTAACAGCTTAAATTTGATTTCTCGACAAATATCCTGTTAAAATTCCTACAACTATTCCAATGCGGTACCCAAATTCTCCAGATTAAATAATTACACCTAATTGGTATGACAACAATCATGATCCCCCACAGCAAGTTCTGATAATTTCCGTTTCATTTCTTGGTTAGATATTCGGCTTGGATCTGTTGGGGCATTACATTTGTGCGCATTTGGGGATTACAAAATTTTACGTTTGTGCACAGCTTTTGGTTACGTTTTGCGTGCATTCATTGTACAGGTAAGACAGTAAAATAAAGGTTATTCATAATAAATAGGACTAAAAATTATTAATTTTCATAATAAATATAACTATAAATGATTAGATTTGAAAATATTTGTTGATTGAAATTATACATTTTTCATATTGAATTCTAAAAAAAATGAGTGATCTTGAGAAATTATATGTATTTACCTGTAAAATAAATGCGCGCAAATGTAATCAACCGGGATCTATTGACCAGACAGCGCACGCTTCCTGACACGTATGATTGTTGTTTCAACGTCAGTATCATCCTGATTGTCACTGGGGCCAATTTGTATTATACTATCAGAATTGTCACTGTGGCAAATTTTAATTATACTATCAGAATTGTCACCGGGGCCATTTTCTATTATACTACCAGAATTGTCACTGGGGTCAATTTTTATTATTCTATCAGAATTGTCACTTGGGCCAATTTCTATTGTACTATCAGAATTAACTGGCATGCATGTATCAATTACATTTCTTGTCTCCATCTGGGTATTTTTGTAATTTGTAAATAAGGTTTATTGTATGGTCATTGAATAAAAATTCTCTAATGTGTATCAATGCTTTTTATTATAACAAAATCCGTACTATAAATTATTGTACAAGTCATAAGTGAATTTGAGTCAAATTTTGTACAAATTGTAATTTGTACAAGCACTTTTTGTACATATTACAATTTGTACAAAGTCAAAATACAAATTATAATTTGTACAATATTTTTGTACAAATTATAATTTGTACAAAATGATAACTTGTACACAACATATATACATACAGCTGACTATGTGGTATGGGCTTTGCTCATTGTTGAAGGCCGTATGGTGACCTATAGTTGTTAATTTCTGTGTCATTTGGTCTCATTGGCAATCATACCACATCTTCTTTTTTATAATTAGTTATGATGAGTGCTGTTGTTAAAATATGTTAAATTCGGAAGGGAAAATTACAAATCATTAGCTGAATAAAGTCAACCAACACCAAGGCAAATAGAATAAGGGGCATTACTCTTGAACGGTAAATTTCAAAATCATCAAAATGGAATATCATCTGTATTGACATACAAGTCTACAAAACACTACCAGAAAACTTTAGATGTCGATGCACAAGCAAAATCTCAGGTACTCCAATTAGCACAATTAGTTCTTGTTTGTTATATTTTTTTATTTATTGTAAATTGAAAAGTACAAAGACAATTTTCAGGAGTTCAAATTAGTGGTGGTCCGAGGTCCATGACCTTCCATTTACTGGTTACAGACCTTCCCATCGGTAGTTAGTTCACACCCGGAGACTTTCGTACTTTTGCAGGTTAAAAAAATTACAAAAGCATTTTGAACAAAAAATATAAAAATCTAGTATCAAAATAATCTTAATATATGCAACTATACTGAAAGGGAAATTATGTGATTGCTTACATTCTTTACAATTGATTTGATGTGTAGTCACGTGATGGGTTGTCGTACAAGATACCGGGAAACTGGAGAATATAATATTAGAACATAACTAGTAAACAGTATGAGTCTGTTTGGTTTTTTGTAAATTGAATTTTCAATAAAAATTGGACCTTCAAAAAATAAAGGAGGACCTTTAAGTATTTTTGGTCAAAGGTCCTGGACCTTCCTTTGCCTAAAGTAAATTTGATCACCTGAATTTTGGTAAATTTTTAAAAAGTTTAGATGAGTAGGTGTACCTATACTAAATTGATATTGATCTTTTTTTTATTTTTGTTTTTTTGTTTGTTAAATGACAAAAGCCTTTAAAAAGGGAATTCTGATATGATAGTCTAAAAGAGATCAAATAAACTGGTCACTCAAAGTGATTGAGTTATAAATAACACTTGGGTGAAATATCACTCTTAGTAGATACTGGTTATCACCACAAATTGATCTTAGGTGAATTTTCACTCTCAGTAGATACTGATTATCACCACAAATTGATCTTAGGTGAATTTTCACTCTCAGTAGATACTGATTATCACCATAAATTGATCTTAGGTGAAATTTCACTCTCAGTAGATACTGGTTATCACCACAAACTGATCTAAGGTGAAATTTCACTCTCAGTAGATACTTGTTATCACCACAAATTGATCACCAGCTTCCTGTAATTGTGATGACAATATTTGTTCGATTAACAGACAGAAGGATGGAAGAAATTAATTGCTTAAAATATGTACATTATCATTTGTATTACTTAAAATTATTTACCTAGTGGCTGTGTAGCACCATTTCTATCTGTACTGTCAGCATTACTCTCACCGTCTATTAAATATGGATGCTTAGCTTTAAAGAAATAAAAAAAACAACTTTACAACAAAAATAACAATATACAATTGTAATAATACAGTCAAACCTGTATATAAAGGTAACAATTGGGACCAGATAAAACTCACCTCATTTTTTATAAGACAACAATTAAGATTGAAAAATCAGTGAGAAGGGAAGAAATAGTAAGATTTGACTCTCCTGTCAGGAGACTGCTCTTAAATTGGAAACATTTAAATTTTTGATGATTTTTTTTTTTTTTTAAATTTGGAAAAAAACAATAATGCAAATCAGAAAAAAAGATACAAGCTATTATCTGACTATACTACATTTCCAAAGCTAGTCACAGCTAGAGACAGTTATGATAGTTTATATCTTTTAACAAGGCCGTAACTACCATTGAGGCAAGTGAGGCAATTGCCTCGCTAAAATTTCGACACTGAATTTTTTTGTTGTGTATTTTATTATGGTAATCAAATACAAAATATAGTCATTTGTTTTTTCTGTCTCAACCTCAATTTCTATAACTTGTCATCATTCCCTTTAAATTATTCTTTCCGGCTATAACTCAGCATCTCAACGGGTGATGTTTTCAATTACATTAACCTAGTAATGGTAATCATCATGGATCTCTGGTTAAAACAGGCTCTTGCAGAAAAAGGAAAAGCGATACTGAACATGCTGAAGGTGAGGAAGGAATAATTCTAGTAAACTAACTGATGTTGTTTGTGATCACAACAGGGGATAAGAGTTCAAGTATTGAATATAAGTTCATTGGAACTATTCCAAAAACTATAAATAGACTGACAAATCAAGTACTGGGGCACTGCACGGGAGCAGTCCTGTCTGCGTATTCATTTCCCCGTTTTCCCCAACTTTATTCGTTCTTTTTACAGATAAACAAAATATAAATGATATGAAACCTGCATGGATTAGTTTTTATCCATGTTTCTTTTACATTAAAATTTGAAAGAACATCCCGTAATCCAATTTGACATTATTGAGGGACAAAACAAGATTTTGTGTTTTCTAATTCGGGACTACGGAATTTCGTGTCTTTTTATTCAGGAGTTCGGGGTCGGATCCCACCCCCTCCCACAAGATTCCCACAATAACAGCGACAAATGATGATTGGTTAATACCTTTTACCTGGAAAGTTTGACTACCTGACAGACGAATGCATAGATGAAATAAATGAAACATATACAACCCAGATTTGCCAGACATTGAAGACTGGCAGCAGGAGATTTTAAGATGGAAAACAAAGTTCGCAGATAAGGAATCTGTTCCCAATTCCCTTCAGCAAGCTCATGTATACGCACATCAAGATTTTTACCCAAACGTAATACGTGTTCTTGTGCTTCTATTAACTCTCCCAGTGACAAGCGTCTGCTGTGAATGTTCTTTTTCTACCCTGAGATGACTGAAAACTTGGGAAAGAGCATGCATGAGTGGCGAAAGAATGAGCGGTCTTGCAATGCTCAATGTTCATCGCGATAAGGATGTCAGCAGACCAAATATTCCAAAATGATTTAACGAAACCGGCCATAGAAAAATTGGCATACTCCAATTTGAATAACCGTTAATTTCTACTGAGTCGATGTTTGTTCTATGTTCTGGCGGCATACTCAAATTGATATATGGATGTTTATCTGACATATATATTTAAATAAAGTTGTTAAAAATCGGTGTTAGTACATGTACATGTCTTAAAATATGAAAAATATAAATAAAAATTAAAACAATGTCAAGCTCTTTGGAAATGCCCAGAAAGCAGGATTTTGAACCATTTATCCCATACTTTATCCCATACCCTGCCAAAATTTTTCGCCTCGCTTTGCTCATCTCATTTTTTTTTCCAACTCGCTCAGCTCGCTCAGCTCGGCGAACAATTCTGCCTCACTAAAATAATATGCCTAGTTACGGCCTTGCTTTACCTTGATATTCAACAACAAGCTCCAATAAATCTCCACGATGTAGTGCTTTCAACATGTCTTTGAGTACATTTATACTAGTTGGAGATATTAATAAGTTTTTTTCTAATAGAACAAACAGGTCAAACACATGTTTTACTTTCTGCAGTTGTCCTCTCTTAATTCCTAATGCTTTACTAGAATGATATTTCAACTGTTCAAATTCTTTGTCCGATAAATCTTCTGATATCTTGTAAAGTAAAATTCTGAAACAAATAATAGAAAAATATTTTACTCTGAAACTATTAATGCATGGCAGGATGACTAGAATAGGTGTTACAATTCAGATGGATTATAAGTGGTTTTTAATTTATATGTACATGTAAATAATGTAGGAATTTAATTAGTATCACCCTTTCATTATGTAATACTTGTGCATGCCATTAATATATACATGTATGTAATATTTAGTAGAATTACCCAAACATCATTTAAACATACAGATCCATACAAAAGGAGTACTGTATTATGTGTTCACCAAAAAGTTTGTACAATTCAAAATGATTATTTAACGGTTGTTTAAAGACACTGTTTTCTGCTCTTTGGTTGGGTTGTTGTCTCTTTGACACATTTCCCATTTCCATTCTTAATTTTACTGTTTTGCATAATTTTACAAAGAGGTGTCAAAAGGTTTTCCTTAAAATTAAATATTTTACCGATTTTGTTTCCCCTTTTTGCAATTATCAATCATTGCAAATTATAATCAATCAATCAAACAATTTAAGTAATTTTTTATATAAAAAAAAAAGAATGGATAGATGGTTAACTACCGTTTATTTCCGTTCATTTATGTAATAGATTTACATGTACATGATGTATATATATCAAATAACGACCTTTTATTCATTTTTGGTAAATTAATATGTAATGATTTTATGACACTGTTACAATAGAATTAAAGAATATATATCATCATTATCATGATTATATTATGAGGAATATATCTTCGGTAACAAAATGGTAACACTAATGAAATGAGAAGTTTAAGACGTATAAGTTACAGCAATACATGTATGTTGTCAGAGACGGTGAACTTTTTACATGAACTATGTAACATGTGTAACATGAATATTCTTGGATGCACATTGTCACAGTCCATTTTGTATATTGTAATCTACCGAGAATTATGATCTTTTTTGATAATTGACATATTTGGACAAACCTCTTTCTGAAGAAAAAAAATATTCAAGAACATTTAAGTCATGTAAGTGGAGATTCCGATTGAATTATGACTATAAAAGTCAGAGTGCCAGAATGCAGTCTGCATGAAAATCTATTCCAACTACTAGCAATGACTAGTCCAAAGATCAATATTCTGACATTTTTCTTAGAAAATACTTGCTAGTCTGAATAAAATTTTATTAGTCTGGGACATCGGACTAGTGGCTAACAGTGCAGATTATGCCATGACCCCAAATAATCTCCCTTAGAACCTAGCTATGATCCTGTTTACTAACCTTAATGGTAAAAGTCTGGGATCTGTTTCCATGCCAACCTCTACACGTCTGGGATCTAACTCTAACTTTCTCACTAAATCTTTCCGTCCAATTAATAAAAAACACTCTGCTAAATAACTACCATCATGTAACGCAACATGTTTATTATTTTCAATGGCACTAAATATGTCTATTGCCATGGTTGCCTTTTCTAATTTTGCCGATCCAGTCACATCTCTAAGCAGAAATTTTAATTTCTCAAGGTCATCACTACCAAGGTCACTGCAAATTTCCACTAATATATGTCTTAACCTTAAATTAGCCATTTTGTCCTTGAAATCACAACTCAACTTCTTTTTTATGATTCACAATAATCAAAGTATATTTCCTCATACCTACAAAGAAATAAAATGAATTCTAATTGTGCTCAAGTATGAAGAAATAAAGTCAAGGTCGTTTAAGCAATAAAAGTAACTAGAGGCTCTCAAGAGCCTGTGTCGCTCACCTTGATCAATATGTATATTCAACAAAGGACACTCTCCAACATTGTGGACGAGAATAGAATTAATGACAAAAATCTCTGATTTTTTTTGTATCTTATATTGCTGATCATTGAAGTCTGTTTAGTTTCTCTCTATCTTCATGATGTTATTTAGCTTTTGCTCCAAACACAAAAGAGGGTAAAAAATCTCATATAAAGAGTAAGTCTACTAATTATATCAGCAAAATTTGACTTGTTAGTAGATTTAAGTTTCTATCTATCTACTATAAATTATACCAAATAAGGCAAAATGCAAAAAAATGGTAAAAATCGTAATTACAGGGCAATAACTCCAATAATGAGTCGTCAGACAATTTCCGCCATTTGTCTTAATTGTAGATCTTGTCTTGCTGATAATTTTTGTACATTTAAGTTTCTTTCTATCTATTATAAGTTTTCAGATATAAGACAAAAAAGCACTTTTAATTTTTTATCTTGAACTATATGCATATTATTTTATCATGTAAGTCGTGTTAGCTGGTCATTTTTCAGGTCAACTTTCAATAAAATTTGATTTCAATTGCGACGTCAATCACGTGTAGCCCATGTTTTATTGTAATTAGAAAATGACTTTGTTAATTTCCAAAGCCTAAGAAGGACGCCATATATCAGTCAGAGCTCTGACATAAACAAGTCAGAATAAAATGACTTCTTCAAGTCAGAAAGTGTTTTGAAATTCTGACCTGTACGCGTCAATTTTTGTTTTGCGTAGTTTTCACTCGAGTCCGTCAAACCAGAAGTTATTTGAATTTGCCGCCGATCTACGACACATACGATCAAGTGGTTTTTTGCAAGAGATCACGTGTTTGAGAGTCGTTGTTTTGGAAGTGTCTCGAACGAGAAGTCATTGAATATTATATTGATTATTTACGATTTTTAGTGAAAATCTAGGTCATTGTGGGCATTTTTAGAAAGGTAATTCATATTACCTCCATATTTTCATGGGCATTTTTATATTTTTTGCCTATAAAGAAGTTCCTTGCAAGTGATTTTTTTGCTGTTTCATGAAGGCGCGCGACCTGTAAATACGGACGCGTGGTCTTTGAGATGACCTGGTGTTTGACAATTCTGACTTGTTCAGGTCAGAAAATGTTGTTGTGATAATGAATTGTTATTTTCGGGAGATAACTCGTGTTGTCTTAAACAATATTAACATTATTAACCAGTCAGTGCAATTTAAAAAGTAAAATTATTGCTTCGAGCTGAACATCGTCACGTGATTTTTCTATTTTTAAACTCAATCACGAATTGATTTTTTAACCTTTCTGATTCGTTTCTCCCAATGAGAAAAACGATCATTGTGAATATTGATATGATGATAATGAAATGAAAATGGGAAAAATTTTAATAAAAGAAAAAGGAAGGGAGGGGTTTAACTAAAGAACCCAAGGGTTTTTTTTTATTTTTAAATTTACAACTTGAGAACAATAAGTGATGCACACACCTGGTCTTCATTTATGATCATGGGACATGATAAAACAAATCAAATGAAATGTAGGGCAAGTCTCCAGGGATCACCCCTATCCCTGTCATTTCTCTATTCCTCTTTATAATGTCAAATTGATTTGAATGAAATGTACCGGGCTAGTCTCCAGGTTTACCCCCACCCCCTGCCATTTGCAAATGTTCTTATATTTTGTAAATGGTAGAGATCCCCACCCCTAAACCATATATATTCTTGTATGGGACAATTTAACAAATCAAATGATATGTTGGGGAGGTCCCTGGGGGTCACCCCTACCCCTCCTGTTTGAAAACTTGTAAACGGTCGAGATCCCCACCCTAAAACCATATATATTCTTGAATAGGACAATAAAACATATCAAATGAAATATAGGGGAAGTCCCTTGGGGTCACCCCCACCCCCTCCTGTGTGAAAACTTGTAAACGGCCGGGATCCCCACCCCTTAACCATATATATTCTTGAAAGGGTCAATAAGACAAATTAAATGAAATAAAGGTGAAGTCCCTGAGGGTCACCCCACCCTCTCACGTTTGAAAACTTGTAAACGGTCGAGATCCCCACCCCTAAACCATATACATTCTTGCACAGGACAATAAAACAAATCAAATGAAATATAGGGGAAGTCCATTGGGGTCATCCCCATCCCCCTTTTTGAAATGTTCTGGATCACCACCCCTAAAGGTAAACCATATGATATTCCTGTTCGTCATTTCAAGAAGATTTGAATGACATGCAGGGTCAAACCCTAGGTGTCACTCATGCATATCACTTTACTAGACAAAACCAATTTGTACTGGAACTTGCCCAATGTCAGGCAACCATGGGAATGACGAATTATGGGAGCTTTGTTTGGGAGACTTCGTAACAGCATCCTGTTACAATTATTTCTTGTTTATTTAAATCTGGTGAGAGACCACCTTTACATATTATATTTATCAGTGTTTGTGCAAACAGAATTGTATATTCAGTATTATTTTGCTCTCACATGCATCACATCTTATTAATTACATGGATATAGGAAGATGTGGTATGAGTGCCAATGAGACAACTCTCCATCCAAGTTACAATTTATAAAAGTAAACCATTATAGGTCAAGGTACGGCCTTCAACACGGAGCATTGGCTCACACCGAACAGCAAGCTATAAAGGGCCTCAAAAAATTACTAGTGTAAAACCATTCAAACGGAAAAACCAACGGTCTAATCTATATATAAAAAAAAATTTTTTGGCATATTTGTTTTCCTCTGAAATTACACATCTATAATTCTTACCCTAGATGCTTAGCCACATGAAGCATTTACCTCTTATTTGAGACATAGATAGTCTTTGTTTCTACAGAAGTGAGAAGAACATTGGAAGTCAGAATGTTCTGACTTATAAAAGTCTGAATGTTCTGACTTAATAAGGTCAGAAAGACTCAGAATGATCTGAAAATACTGACTTTTTTTAATGTTTAGAGTATTTTAGAATATGAATGCACTTGTCATGCTAGTACCATAAGAAACCCTGACAAGATTTTGTTCCCAAACAACAATTTTTAAAGATATTAAGAATAACAAGTGTACAATGGAACATAAATTACAAAGTTATAAGTGTTGTGAAAAAAGCTATTTAAAAAAAAAATCAATACATAGTTATCTTTCAACTTTTACATGTATTTAAAAAAACAGTGAAAATATTATGGATTATATGTACAGCTTCTTGAAGGACAACAAAGTCGCCATATTTGGTCTGAATTTGTATTTTTTTTCTCCTCAAAATTTTTTTAACATTAATAATGTTGGCTTTTTTCTTAACTAATTTTAAACATTCTTAATTATAATTAAATTTCCCCAACATTTTGCTTACAAACTCTTTAATTTCTAAAGTCAAATTGAAAGTTGTCTTCACCATGTTCACAGATTCAATGTGTCTGAAAATGTTATATTGAAAAAACAATACTTTTATATCCTCAAATAAAATGGGCATACCATGAGTTTAATGGTCATGCAGATATGCAATCCAGGATGTTAACAATCAGAGCAGATTACAGTCATATAGTAATAGGCAGAGTTTTTCTAATATAATCAATAACCAGAGTAAAGATAATTGATTAATAGAGGTTTAGTTTAATATAAGTAATAAACAAAGCTAATTAATACACTTGCAATCACATACATGTAGTTAAATAAGTAAATACAGAATATTCATACAAAATTCAGACAGAAATACTGTAATAGGTCAAGTCATTAGGGACGACATCAAAAGTTCAATGTAGGATAAAAAACTTAATTCACATCACATAGTTTTTTCACTGACCCACCCACCCCCCTCTTAACTTAATTTGGGAAAGATTGATTGACCAATATGGATTTATGTAAAATCGATTTTGGATAAACAAAACTTGCAGCAATTTTAACCCCACCCCCAAACTATTTGATTTAAGTTTTTTTATCCTACATTGGTCTTTTAATGTCGTCCCTTAAAATGTGCTGACTTTGTACATGTTGTAGTGATAGTTATGGCACCCATACAACATATAGGAATCAGTCAAAAGGAGAGAAAAATTCCCGAAATTTGTCACATAGTGACATTTGTGAGTCGGAATAACAAAATATAGACTCATTAATCTCTCCATCTTTTCAAAAATTATGAACCAGATTTTATGCATATCCATTTAGTTTTTGACGGACTCTTTTAAGTCAGAACATGATTTGACCTGTTTGAGTCAGTTTGCAGAACAAGATTTCCAATCAAAGCTATGTGTTCTTCCTCTTAGCCCCCTTCTGAATCTGCCACTGTTGAGTTTATTAATTGATTTTTCGATACATTATCATTAATATCAAATGGCAATGCCTGACTTAATAATTTCAATAAATTTAGTTTTTGACTGATTTTTTAAAGTCAGAACATGACTTGACCTGTTTAAGTCAATTTGCAGAACAAAATTTCCAATCAAAGCTAGGTGTACTTCCTTTAAGCCCTGCTTCTGAATCTGCCATTTTTGAGTTTATTGTTTGATAAATTTTTATAAACAATTAAGTCAAATGGTTATTTATTTTAGGGGATCTTTCATATATTTCTTGAGTCTTTTATCTGACGTTCCCATACATTCATTAAATAACATATGGCAATGCCCAGCTTAAATATTTCAATAAATTTATTTTAGTTTTGGACTGACTCTTTTAAGTCAGAACATGATTTGACCTGTTTAAAACAAAATACATTTAATATTTAATATACCAAATAAACTTTTTTATAGTCCTCATTATTGTGACTTATGGGGACTTTATTTCCTCTGTCTTTTATCTGGCTCACCCATACATTTTTAAATCAATATGACAATACTAGACTTAAAAGTTGTAATAAGTTTAGTTTTGTTTGACTCTTTGAAGTCAGAACATGATTTG